TGACACATGCGCATAGGCGTTTACCCGTGCGTGTAAGAACTCTTACGACTGTGCATTTGCGTGTGCGAAAGCGCAGAATACGTTTTCGCGTGCGCGTTTTATTTATAACGGACGGTATAAGCTAAAATTTTCTAATTATCTATTTCAGTTAATGTTGATGATTGCGTTGTTCCTTAATTTTCGAATTGGATCCGTCTTATTATTTTTTGCAGACTGTAAGAGCAATACTATAAAAGTAAACTTGAACTTTCGATTATGTCAAATAGAATTTCCGATTCTGGAGCTCCCAAAGGATCGTACAAAACGAAAGTATGTTTCGATGTCCATCAACAAACAAAAAGTGGAATTGCTGCAAAAAATGGATAAAGACATGAAGAATGTGACAGAGAGGTTAGTGAAAACGAAAAAATTTCGATTGACAAGTTAGTCGGTATTCTCGGCACAGCAATTAACAGGACTTGAACAGCGGAACTTTGTAGCTGAACAAAAAATTATGTCTGTTTATAGAATTAAAGAGAAAGTATTACACAGTCCAGTCACATTAATGTGACCACCACGTACTTTCCATGTCAGAGTTAAATAACCAATCACAGAAGGCAGGTGGCAGCACAGTGCAGTTAAGCGTATATAAAGGGTGTGTGAGGGCTTCGGAAAACATTTCAATCGTTGGCGTAATTAATGCAGAAACGAAGCAATTTATCCGACTTCCAAAAGGGCATGATCATTGGCTTTCGGGCCAAGGGGGAAAGGGTGGAAGCATTTCCGAAACGGCTGAGTTTGTGAACTGTTTCGTGTGCCGCCGTGGTAAAAAGTGTACCATGCATGGCAAAATGGGACTGTCCCAAAATCAGCGACGTGGCAAATGTGGTGCACCACGGGCCATAGATGACAGAGGCGAACGACGGTTGCGGAGATGCGTTCGGGCAGATAGACGGGCTACCGTTTATACCGTTTAAGCAACTGACCACCAAAATGAACCAAGGGGCTACCAAAAGTGTCTCCCCAAAGTACTATTCAGTGAACATTGCTGCGTCTGGGCCTCCGAAGCAGAGACGCCTGGTTCGTGCACCTATGCTGACTGCTGTTCATCGACGGCGAAGGCTAGAATTTGCACGCCAGTACAGCAGCTGGACGTCCACTGAGTGGCGACAGGTTGCGTTTTCGGATGAATCGCGTTTTATGCTCCATCGGACAGATGGACGTTGGTTGGCGTATAAGGCGTGAAACCTCTGAAAGGAACCACCCTGCAACCATTGCCGGAACGGTCCAAGCTGGAGGCGGGAGATGGGAGCATTATGGTCTGGGGAATGTTTTCCTGGCATTCTCTAGGTTCACTGATCATTGTGGAAGGCACAATGGATCAATACAAGTACGCATCTGTCTTTGCGGACCATGTTCACCCCTACATGCGCATTGTTTTTCCTCAGGATGATGGCATCTTCCAGCAGGACAATGCGAGGTGCCATACAGCTGCCAGTGTACGTGCGTGGTTCGAAGAGCACCAGGATGAGTTTTACCGTCCTCCCCTGGCCAGCAAAACTCACCTGACTTAAAAACCCAATCGAGCATCTGTGGGACCATCTCGATCGAGTTGTTCGCGCCATGGATCCTCAACCGCGTAATCTAGCGCAGCTGGCCACGGCATTAGAGTCGGCTCAACATCCCAGAGAACACCTTCAGGGACCTATGTGACTCTCTTCCTGCACGTCTCGCAGCAGTCCGCTCTGCGAAAGGTGGTTATTCTGGCTTTTGACAGATGGTCACATTAATGTGACTGGACTGTGTATCACATAAAACGAAGCAACTTAAACAACTTACATTGAAAGAAATGTTTAATAAAGTAAAAAATACATATTAAGCTTTTTTTTGTAAATTTTGATACTCTTTAGATCATAATTGTTCTTTATTTCATAAATTACGGTTTCATATTTTTAATTTTAGAATTTCTGCATGCCATCTTACGCGATTTAAACTGATGATCGATAATCCGGAATCGCCGAAGTCCCGACGAGTCCGAATTAAAGAATTAAAATAGAATTCAAGCTTAATTGTCTCAGTGTGCGATAGAAGTGAAAAGAAATTTAATGGGACATTTTTGTGTTTCATTGCCAGTCTCATGCTATATAGCCAAAAATGTATAGCAAATGCATTTAAGCTAGAATAAAATTATACTTTACTGATTTCAATTCTATTGAACTATTTCAGCTAATATATCAGATTGCACTGTTCCTTAACTTTCATATTTGATCTAGCTTATTAATTTTTGCCAGCTGTTATAATTACAGCAATTTTATGAAAACTAAAGTTTGAACTTTCGATTATGTCAAAAAGAGTTTCTAATTCTGGAGCTGCAGCAGGATTCACAAGGCGAAAGCGTGTTTCAATGTCCATTAAACAAAAAGTGGAATTGCTGCAAAAAATAGATTATACACATATCTGTCTCAAAATTATGCGAGGAGTATGACCTCTATATGACATAACAGAAAAAGGAACTTAATTTTTTTTTCTTGTGGATTCTGACACCCCATACGCAATGAATTACAGAAAAATTCTTTGCTATGCTAGAATTGATAATCATGACAAAGTGATGGTTGAATGGGTCAGGCAGCATTGCAGTGAGGGGCGGGCCATTGACGGGTTCAAAGCATATGTGTCGGTCAAGTCAGAATATTAAATAAAGAAATTAACTTAAAATCTGAGTGCACATATTTGATAGGTTGTTTAACCATGTTTGAAAATTACCATGGTATAAGGAATTAAAAATTTCAGGTCAAAAAGCTTCAGCTGTTACCGAAGCTGCTGAATTATTTTCAGATGAATTCATTGAACTCATTAATAATAAAACATTATCTCCAGGGTAAATTTACAATGCTGATGAAACTGGTCTTTTTTGGCAATATGTACCACGAAATATCTTGGCAACCTCTACAGAAAAGGCTCCAACTGGTGTCAAAGATTCCAAAGCTAGACTTAATTTTAGTAGGTGCAAATGCTGCAGGAAAGCACAAGTGTAGACTTTTTGTAATCGGAAAAAATACACGACCTCGAGCATTTAAAGGAATAAAGGTTCCTTTTTATATATCATGCAAATAAAAGAGCACGGATGACACAAGCATTAAGGTATGATAGGTTTGAAAATCATTTCATATGCTAGGCTCTGCAAAATATGACTTTGGTTGGTTTATGTGATGACGCAGAAGTTGTCCTGATTGTAAATAACTGTTCGGCTCATATTTCACTTAAAGTTTTAATGAAAGATTATGCTTCCGTGTTATTTTTTCCTCCAAACTGTACATCCATCATTCAACCTATGGATACTGGAATAGTGCGCGTGCTGAAATGCTAATATAAAGTAGCATTTTTGAAATCAATGTTAAATTTCTGGATAATTGCAACACTATTCATGAATTAAAAAAATATTTTAGCATAAAACCTGCTGTGTGGAGCCTCGCAAGATCGTGGGAGATGTGCCTCTAGGTACTTTAAAAAGTGCTCGGCATAATTTATGGCCAGCTACCATATTTCATGGTGAGGATGATGAAGGTGATAGCCATGGATTTGAAGGCTCTTGGATATCACAAGATACTGGTGAAATTTTCCAGTTAATCGATTTTGTAAAGAAATGGGGAGAAACGATAATAAATGAAGATGATATAACAGAAATTTTTTATTGTGATGACAATGCTCCAATCATGAATCAATTAACGGACGGCGAAATCTGTAGTATGGTTCTAGATCCAGAAAATACCACTACCAATAGTGAAGAAAGTGACGGAGTTTAGACAAGTTAGTCCGAATTCTCGACTCGGCAACTACAGGATTTGAATAGTGGAACTCTATAACTCAACAAGAAATTATGTTTGTATGTAGAATTGAAGAGAAAGTATTAGCACAAAAACAAAATAAAGCAACTTAAACAATTTGCATTCGAAGAAATGTTTAATAAAGTAAATAATAAATATTATGCTTTTTTTTTTTTTGTAAATTTTGATACCCTTTAGATCATAAATACTTCACTATTTCATAAATCACGATTTCATTTTTATAATTTTTACATGCCATCTTACTAGATTTAAACTGATGCTCTAATATCTGGAATCGCCGAAGTCCCGATCTCGGGCTTTGTACTGTAATATAGTTTTGTTGACATTCTCTGTCTTCTCCGCTTTTCACTCCTCCATATGTTGTAATTATATTTAACTGCACATCATGAAAAAGGAAGGAAATTTAATGTATGATGTTTATACGAAACAAATATGGAGCAAAAAATAAAGGTGGTTATATATCTTGTAGTTGCAAAGCATTTTGTATTTTCCTGTTTTAATCATTTCCATGAATATAACATATATAAATTTATAAATATGTACTTACTTTGGTCTTATCATTGATACTAACTTCACTTAAGTGCCAAAAGTGTCAATAACTGGGAAATTAAGTTTTGTCTTGTTATTGCAACTATCTTCCTAATCTGAAATGTGTTATAAATACAAAATACATTCAGTCCTTCCTTCTGTTAGCAATTTATTTTTTTCATAGGTCTTTGGGAATGACTATGCAGTGGAATGGAAGGCATTCTATTTATTTACTCTTATTCTGCCATCAAATACTTTGAACTTATATTGCATATGATAGCTAGTAACTGCTAGAAAATATAAAGAGAGGGAAAAATCAGCTTGACCTCTGCCATTATTACCTTTGTAGGAATTGGAAGTAACTTACCCTGAAGTCACTTCCAAAATTAGCTGGTCAGTTGTCAAAGCTGTAGGTCAAAGACATAAGTATTTTATTTAAAACATTAAGGGAAAAAAGAAAAAGAAAATGCTATTCCATCCATCACTGTTACCTACTCATGCTAAGCTAACTATATCTTTTGAGATTAAGCACTGGTTTACATTAGATACAAATAATAGTTTAAAATTTCAAACTGGTATAAACATAATTTTTTTTTTTTTATTTTTTTTTTTTTTTATAATTATATGAAAATGCTTTCTTCATTTTAGAATGAGCTTCAATTAATTGCTACTGAAACTCCTCCAGAGGAACATGCAACTGAATGTTTACCAAATGAACCTGAAAAGGAAACATCATCTGAAAAATCACTTACTGAAGCATGTGATGGTTCAGTTGTTGCTGTTCTAGAAGAAAGGTTGAATATGTATAATGAAGCAATTAAAGCTGCAAAAATGATAGGAGACAATTCCAAAGTGCGTCGCTATGATAGAGCAGCAAAGGTAATAATTCCCTCCCCCCTTCTTTGGGATATTTCTTTCTCTGTCATACATTAGACAGAACTACAGAGATTATTTTTCATGTTTTTCCAATTATTGTTTTATATGAAGTATGAAATACTGCATTAAATTTCTTTGGTAAGTTAACTAAAATTTAATTGGTGTTAGGAGATTAATATTGTTAACTAAATCCCATGTGTTCACCACGTGTGTAATTTATTTACAAATACATTCAAATGTTATGTATCTTATTATCAAGTATATATATTCAAGGAGTATTTTAAAATTAGATATTTGACACCTTTGAAAAAAATCTCTTGTTGGGTCTTCTCGCTGATTATGAAATTTCTACTTCTCTAAATATAGATATACTTTTCAAAAGCATACAATTATGTACTGTAGCAGTGTTGTAATAGGAACATTTGATACCTCCATTCATCAAAATTATTAGCTCTAAGAAATAAATTATATTTATAAAAAGTGATTGAATTTTTTATAGAATATTGCATTTGTGTCAAAATTGAGAAGTTCTGAATCCACTTTTTTTTTTTTTTTTTTTTTTTTTTCTCTGTTTTTCTGTGGTTTTCCTCTCTTTCTTCACTTTTGGCAAAAAAATACATTTTCTACTCTACTTGAAATATTTTATTTTATAAATAAAAATTTGGTAATGAATCATTGCTATGTTTTCTCTTTGTATTAAAACAATAATTTCTGATACAAAAATTGATGCATATTCTAGCAGAAAATTGACATTCAGGATTATTCCAAATGGTCTTCTTAGGATAGTGCGGTTGCAGCTTTAAAATGGCTAATTTAACATATATGCAGCTATGTATTCAAGTGAAGTTAAAATATGGCATAGGTTATATAGTACAGTGTGTTATCTTATTGAAATAAGTATGAGTTGTGGTCATAAGACTTGAAGTGCAAACATTTTATAGTCAATTAGATGCAGTAGTTTGTTGCATTTGTATTTTCATGTACAACCACAATGATCTAAGCAACATACATTGAGAATATATATACTACATAACAGTGAGAATACATCACATACATTAAGAAGCATGACTAAATGATCATACTCTCACAGATACAAATCAATCTATTAATGTACTATCATGCAAACCATGCCGTGTAGTACTTAACGGCTTAGTATATAATAAATAAAAAGTAAAAACATGCATTCTTGTTACAGCAATGTATTTTTTCGCCATAAAGTTATTTCCTTGCTTTCTATAATTATTTAATATCTTTTGTATTTCTACTAAGCCCATTTAAATGTAGTTGTGCGTGTTGCTTCATGAATAACTGTGGTACATTCATTCATCCACTGGAATTCTGAAACTGTTTGATATTTTTTGTCAGGATGCAATAGATCTTTCGGAGCTCTTTTCTCGCTTCTAGTCAGTATTCTACATCTTGGCTGTTTCTTGGTAGTTTTAAATTCATTGTGTTTCCTTTTGCACTTGAAAAGCTATAGATGTAATTTTATTGTGCAGTTGCATGTATAAAATGTTATAATAACTCTTCTCTGGAAGTTACTGCAAATGGCCATGTTTGAAGAATAAATTATGTATGACTTATGGCAATATCATTTGCAAATTCACACAATGAAATTGAAACTGATGAGATCCATTGGAAATTTTCTTTTTTTGCTTTAGAAGTGAGCATCTGTAGATCTTTTTCTCTCACACAGTGTGTAAATTGAATATGCATCGTATGAAAAAGCAACTGCAGAAAAATCCTCTAATTGCAAAATTAGATTTTAATAAAAAAGAATAAGGTGTAAGCAACATATTCAGATAAGTACTGTCCTTTTAAAGTTATTTCTGATGAAAGAATCTTTCGGAGCTCTTTTCTCGCTTCTAGTCAGCATTCTACATCTTGGCTGTTTCTTGATAGTTTTAAATTAATTGTGTTTCCTTTTGCACTTGAAAAGCTATAGATGTAATTTTATTGTGCAGTTGCATGTATAAAATGTTATAATAACTCTTCTCTGGAAGTTACTGCAAATGGCCATGTTTGAAGAATAAATTATGTATGACTTATGGCAATATCATTTTGCAAATTCACACAATGAATTGAAACTGATGAGATCCATTGGAAATTTTTTTTTTTTGCTTTAGAAGTGAAATCTATGAATTAAATGAATGTGTGGCACCAGGTGAATAGCAGATGTATATCTTTGCTTTTTTGTTTTTTTAATTTTTTTGAAAATAAACAATTAAATTAGATTTAATAAAAAAGAATAAGGTGTAAGCACATATTCAATAAGTACTGTCCTTTTAAAGTTATTTCTGATGAAGAATCTTTCGGAGCTCTTTTCTCGCTTTAGTCAGCATTCTACATCTTGGCTGTTTCTTGATAGTTTTAAATTAATTGTGTTTCCTTTTGCACTTGAAAAGCTATAGATGTAATTTTATGTGCAGTTGCATGTATAAAATGTTATAATAACTCTTCTCTGGAAGTTACTGCAAATGGCCATGTTTGAAGAATAAATTATGTATGACTTATGGCAATATCATTTGCAAATTCACACAATGAAATTGAAACTGATGAGATCCATTGGAAATTTTCTTTTTTTGCTTTAGAAGTGAACATCTATTGAATCTAAATGAATGTCTGTGGCACCAGGTGAATAGTAACAGATGTATATCTTTGCTTTTGTTGTTTTTTTAAGCTTTTTTTGAAATATAAACTAGCAGGATTAAATGGAGCTGGTGATTCTGAAAATCTATTTGCTGTGCAATTGTTAAGTTTTTCTGGCATTATCATTATGAGTGCTTATGAGAGTTAGGGAGCAGTGATATTTACTGGTATTTAAAATATATACTAATGGCTAAGTATTTTCTCTCAATAGCCGGAAACTTGTTTGAAGGTAACTAATGAATAAGCATGTAAGATATTGCTCTGATAATTTATAACTCATAAAGTATTAGAATTTAATTGTAAATTCAGTCAGTATCTTCAAGATCCAGGTCATAATGTTTCTATTTGATGTTTTACCAAACAATAATGTTTTATCTTATAGTCTTCAAAGAAGTATGGTAATTAACAGCTGATTAATGCTTGCATTAATTAAATTATATGGTTTTCCAACAAATTTGGTAAGATAAATGTATTTGTATTTTAGTACCTATAATTAAATATTTTAGGTTATGAGTTGGGTAAATTTATCTCAGTATTGCTTAAAATACACGTGTAAATTGAAAAAGCCTGTTTATGTAGTTTTATATTCATTTTAATGGTATAATTAATGCATAGTGAGTATTTTAACAGACATGCAATTTCAGCTTGTTAAAAAAGTTCAAATTTATTAAAACAAGGATCATGTGATATATGTATGTGTGTGAGAGAGAGAGAGAGAGAGATGTTATAGTTTTTGTGGAAGATGAAGCCAATTCATATTTTAGTCATGGCTAAGAAAAGCTACTGCATAGATTTGATTGGAGCAAAAATTACAACTGGCTTGATGGCCAAAACATCATTTTTATTTCAAACAGGAACAATTATTCAGAAATACATTTTAGCTTAAAATGGTACAGCACTAAGTGTGCTAACCCCCCTCGTAATTTCTATATACACAGTGTAGATTTTAGATTCCTTGGCAGAGCAAGCAGGAAAAAAGCAATGTGTAATAACTGCAGTAGTATTCATAAGCTCAGACGTTTTAATCCTGAGCAGCGATTGGGAAAAAGATTTGATGTTGCAGTTACTGCAAGGAAAACACAATGTAACATGGTGCAATATGGAGCCTTGAAGAGGGGATGTATGCCATTAAAATAAAGAATTTAAAGGACCATTGCAAGAAAGTTTAATTTGGTAACAAATTTTTCTTCTTATTTTGATCTTATGCACACATGTGGATGTATATACTAAAAATTAAGTAATTTTGAACTATGAAAAATTAATTAATTATAAACTAAAACAATAAGTAATTTTGAACTATCCAATAGCATTTAGTGCAGAAATAATTTTAAGATTTTCTTTTTTTAATTCTACAATAGTGTGTGTGTGTGTATATATATATATATATGTATAGTAAACAATACATTTTGTAGTGTTAAGTCTAATGGGAATACTTGGAAATTATAATTATTGTGACATTTTCTTATTACCGCTGTGATCTCGTTATACTCTTTTGTTATATTAAATTTTTGTTTTATATTGTTACGAGTAATATAGATGGATATATTAATAAATAATAACAATAATAATGCCATGACAACCGAAAAGCAGAAATACAGTTAATGTTAAATTAAAAATGTTAAATACGAAAATCAAAATTTTCATAATTCTTAAAAAAAATTTTTATTAGTCTTATTCAACATAAAAGTTTTATGTTTCATTTCATATTTCCTTTTATGTAGTGCATATCACAGTGGCTAAATATTTTTTGTTAAGTTTTGAGGATTGTATGTTTTTGCAAATGCTTAAATATTTTCTTAAAATAGACTAAGTATTGTGGAAAGTTAAATATTAGGTTAATTGCATAATTAGGAATTTCATGCAACAAGTTAGTAAGTTGTTAAAATTATCATTGCCAAACTGTAGATTTCATTCTGAATTTATTTATAAAGGAAAAAAATAATTTCATCGTATAATTTTGTGTCATTGAGCAAGTATGGTTATACTTGTTATCTTAGACTTTAAATTTAATTCGTAATTACTAATTTAATTACTTTAATCTTCAGACTTTAAAAAAGTTACTCAGTTCTGCAAAATCTGGTGCCTCTGTCAGTGCTGAAGATATTCCGCCTGTGGTTAGTATACCCAAATCTCCACAGAAAAGAGCAACAGCAGTTTCAAGTAAGTTAAATATAGTTTATCATCATAGCTATATGATAACAGATTATTTTCTTAGTTTTCTGAATTGAATAGTAAGTATGAATATAGAACTGAATATTTATTTCTAGTTACTTTTTTAAATCTTTATGATTTTTAAAATTTGTAAATGTAATATAGATTTATTATCTAATACATTATAATCTAATAAGCTATTTTTAGAGCAGAACTGGAATTCATCAGCAAAAAACTTTGTAGTTTTGGTAGGACTTTCATAGAATGTATATACCCAGCCTGTTATTGCATCATAATGGGCTGTAATTTTTATTTCCTCATATTTTTACCAGCATATATTGTGCTCAGTAAAAATTATTTTTGCAATAATTTTTTACATTTTTAGGAATGTGCAAGGGTATTTTAATTTATAGACTGTTCACCCAAATTTGTTACGTTTTCGTGGTTTTCCTCATGTGTAATATGTATACAAGCCAGTTTCGCTTAGAAAGTCTTCCGCAAAAGAATCCCTTCCCTTAGGCCGATAGCCCTAATGTGCTTTGTCATAATCTACCAAAGAAAGCAAAACCCAAATTTCTTAGTGATATATCATTTGTGGAAATGTGTATACTTTATCTGCTAATATGTTTGTATGTATTTTTTATATGTTGAGAGGGATAAAGCGTTTATTAATTAACTTAAAAAACAAAACACAACTCAAAACATTAATTATGTATAAAAAGTGAAAATAGCACTTTATTTTAGCATAAATATAAGTAATAAAATACACTCATGCCCATAAGATAATTCAGAATCACACGGAAATCAAACTATAATCAAGTATAAATCAAGTATAAGTTTCACCTGTAGAATTATCGCACACATCTTCAAGAATAATATGCAAATTACAGGAAGCCATCAGATGATGCCGATAATATGTCACAATGACGAGAGTGTCAGAGAAGTGTATATAAGGAAAGGTAGCAAAGAAGTAAAATTGTTCATAAGCATTTCGTAAGCTGCTCAGTGCCATAATTGGACACATAGTGCCATAGTTGGACACATAGGACACATGTGGAAGATTTTTAACGTGGTAGAATTATTGGCCTCCTGGAATGTAGGCATGCTCAGATAGAAATATCTTAGAAACTTGAAATAGCCCAAAGTATTATATCTAAGTTTTGACAACCATTCCAAACTGATGGAAATGTCAGTAGATGTTAAAGTACAGGTCGCCATCGAGTTACCACGCTGAATGAGGACCGGTATTTGGCAGTAACTGCCAAAAGAAGCAGATGGAGCACAGCATCAGACCTACCTCTTCAGCTGTCTTCAGCCATAGGTACAACAGCTTCAAGACAAACTGTGTACAGATTGGTCTATATGATTGCTTGCAGGCCTGTCAGGTGTATTCGGCTCATGGCAACTCACTGTCACCAGTGGTTAGCCTGGAGTTGGGAACATGCAGCATGGACATCGTCACTGTGTGCTTGTATGATGTTTTCCGACAGTCCAGGTTTAGCATGCAGTCTGTTTCACATCATACTTTCATATGGAGAACTCCAGGTACCCATTACCAAGACAACTTCATGGAATGAGACCGTTACAGTGGTGCAGGATTGCTTGTTTGGGGTGGAATTATGCTGGGCACCAGAACAGATTTTCATGTTCAGATGAGAACCATGGCAGGCCAGATTTAATGGGACATCATTGTAGAACAACATGTATGTTTGTTTAAGGGTCCTGCGGATGCAGAATTTTTGTTTATGGATGGAGTGCCATCTCCACTGTGCAAACATTGTGAAGGAATGCCTTCAATCTGAGAATATCACCCACATGGAATGGCCAGCATTCCCACTTGACTTGAATCCGATAGAGCATGTGTGCAATTGCCCATGTATCTTCCAGATGTAAAATGAGACTTCAGCTTTGTGAGTTGTGTAATGGTTTAAATCGTAATAAGCTATTTTGTAAAAATATTGTTCCTGAAGTGGAAGCAATTTCCAAAGTTAAGCAGAAAGTAGTAACAGTATCAGATTCTAAACAGAATGCAGTTGCCTCCCTGTCGTTTAGCTCTAAGACTGTTTCTGTAACTGCTGATAAAGGTGTATATTTACAAACTTGCACTGTTTACGCTTCAGATACAGATAATACTAGAAACCAAATAGCAAAAATCTTAATTGATGGTGGATCACAGAGGTCATTTATTAGATCTGATTTGGCTAAAGAACTAAAATTAAGGACTTTAAGGAAAGGTAGGTTATATATTTATTCTTTTGGGTTTATCCAAGGTAGACCAATGGAATGTAATGTTGTTCAAATTACCCTGAAAAGTATACATTGCCCTAATGAATCAATCACACTTGAAGCTCTTGTTACAGATACAATTCTGGAGCGATCATAAAAATTCCCTCCAAAAGCATTTTAGAAATATTAAAATCAAAAAATCTAAATGTAGCCGATAATGGTGAAGCAGCTGAAATAAAAATATTGTTAGGATCTGATTCATGTTGGGAAGTGGAAACAGGCGAAAAGAAAAGAGTAAGTAATAAATTATATGCGATACCTTCTATATTTGGGTGTCCTTGGTTGGATCTTTGGAAGGTGATCAAGTCTAGTGCCTGTATTTTTACAACTGGTGCTTCTCACTACTTGAAGGAAGATCATAATTCAGTTAATGACTGTTTGCGAAGGTTTTGGACTCTGGACCACTTGAGTTTAGAGGAGAAGGAGAATCCTGATGATAAATCAGTCATTAAGAAATTTGAAAAAGGATTACATTTTACTAATGGTAGATATGTAGCTCGTTTGTTATGGAAATCGCATCATGAAAACCTGGGTAATAATATAGAAAATGCCAAGCGACGTCTAGTATCTTTGGTTAATAAACTAAAAAATGATGAACGGCTTAAGGCGAATTATGATAGCGTAATAAACGAACAGTTAAAAAATGAAATAATTGAAAAGTGCGAAATTGAAAATTGTGACGGTAGTAAAATGTATTACATGCCACATTCTCCGGTGGTAAGAAAAAAATTTATCAAAAACTAAGGACGAATGCGTCAAACACGATATGGTATCTTTGAAGTGTAAGGGGGTATCTCTGAATAATTGTTTGATGTCTGGCCCAAATTTGAATCCTTCTGTTTTGGACTTGATATTGCGGTTCAGACAGTACAAACATGCATTCTCAGCAGACGTTGAAAAGGCCTTTATCCATATTGGAATCTTTGAAATTGATAGAGATGTATTATGTTTTTTATACTTTGATAATAATTACAATTTGAAACGTTATAGAATGACTCGCGTTCCTTTTAGTGTGTCATATAGCCCTTTCATTCTGGCGTGCACTACAGTCAAAAGTCGTTAGTTCGGACACCCATAATCTGGAATGATCTATAATCCGGACCTCAAAGCTACAAACTTTCTGCACGTGCGTCGCGTTGACGCATGCGCGTAAGACCTTTACGGCTGCGAATATGCGTGTGCGCATGCACAAAATATGTTTCCGAACGTGCGTTTAATGTATAACGGACGGTATAAGCTAAGCTAAAATTATCTAATTCAGTTAATGTTGCAAATTGCGTTGTTCCTTAATCTTTGAATTTGGATCCGTATTATTATTTTTTGCAGACTGTTAGAGCAATTTTATAAAAGTAAGCTTGAACTTTCGATTATGTCAAATAGAATTTCCGATGCTGGAGCTCCCAAAAGATCTAGAAAACGAAAGTATGTTTCGATGTCCATGAAACAAAAAACAAATTGCTACAATAAATGAATAAAGGCATATCCTTTGTTTATCTAACCATTCCGAAATCTGTTTATCAATTTCACGCTGCTCTGCGGGGGGGGGGGACCGTCACGGCGCGCAATGAACTGGAAGTTGATCTGTTAGCACTATCATTATCTTCAGGGCAAATGTTTTTATTTTATTCGGCTTATAATTCCTTACTAAATGTAGTATTTAATCTCGGTGTACTTCGTCTTTGATATGATTTAAATCAAATTCCTCGTCATTATAAATATCACAAATACAAATCAAATAGTTTTCTGGTTGCAATTTTCTAATTTCGGCTATGCGTAAGGTATGCTTTATGCATGCGCGCGTTGAAAGAAATGTGTAATAAAGTAAACAAATAAATATTAAGCTTCTTTTTTTGTAAATTTTGATACCCTTTAGATCATAATTGCTCATTATTTTATAAATTACGGTTTCATATTTTTAATTTTATAATTTCTGCATGTCATCTTACCAGATTTAAACTGATGATCGATAATCCGGAATCGCCGAAGTCCCGACGAGTCCGGATTAATGACTTTTGACTGTATATGTAAAATCGTAGCTTCTTACACTAAGTTCATAAAGTAAGCATTTGGATTGCTTGCAGGTTTAAAGTGGTGCTAATTCAACGTAATTTATTATATTATAAATGAAAATTTCAATATTTTTCATTGTACGCTCTTTCTATAAACAGGAACATAAAGGTGGTGTGATTAATCTGTTAAGCTTGTGAAAGTAATTTAAATATTTCTATTGTGTAACACTTAATTGATTAAGAATTATTTTATAGTTGCATTATTTATCTTGTGAAACCATAATTTAAATTTTAAAAAAATGTTTTAAAATAAAATCTGGGTATTTTACAACCTTAGCAGCAATAAAAATAGTTACAAGGGTTATTTGTCAAGTCATAAGAATCTTTTTCAAAAGTATATATCTAATTTTAAATTATTAGGTTAATGTAAACATAATCACACATATAATTGTGGTATAATCGAAATGTTTTAAACTCTTTTCACTGTTGAAAATAGTGCTCTTGTTATATGTTTACACTATTAAAATCTCTCAAAGTTGTATATTTATATATTAAAACGTTTGTTAATAGGAATTTATTTACACGGTGTTTCAGAGAGTGAAGTAAAACAAAATTGTGTGCTTGTTTATTTCTAATAGTATTCTTTGTATGCAAATAGAATTCTCATCATGATTTCTCTAAATTTTATTTCAAATTTGATTCTGGTATAATCTGAGTATTTCATGGTTTCTGCTGTGGTGAAGAAAATGTTTTGGAAATTAAGTAATGACATTAAGACCTTTAAAATAATGTTTTCAGTATTAAAATTTTGTTTATATAAATCTAATCATGCACATTGTGATACTGAAAACTAATATCTTGCATTTTGATTATGATGGTATATTTCTAATCTGGATAATAGTACACTTTGGATATAAGTAAAATTATTTAAAAAATATTTTATGTTTCTGGTAAAATCTCGATAGTAAGATCTTTATACAGAGTTCGTACAATCCTTAAGAGTCCTTAAAAGTCCTTAGATTTTTTGGGAATCGATTTTTGGTCCTTAAAAGTCCTTAATTTGGGCCAAAATCAGCAGAAGGTCCTTAATTTTAATCATCTGAAATTTCTGTCTTTTTTTTTTTTTTTTTTGACTGCCATTTTGAGTGTGAAATAGCATTTTGGAGGATTATTTTTGGCGAGTCCCTGACATATATGGGTACCTTTTGAATGGATTCATGGGTTATAATTTGTTTCTATTTCTAATATAAATGATGGGATACTCGAGGTTCTAAGCAAGAAGTGAAACATAAGCATAGCGAAATCCATTTTTTTCTAATAAAAGGCCTTTAAACAACTTTTCACTTTTGGGGATGCGAATTCTTTTACTAAACGGTTCTAAATTTGGCAACTTATCAACATTTCGGCGATTTTAAGATCAGTTTCTATAGAAAATTTTTAATTCCGAGATCTGAGAATTTTTCGACAATTTTTTTTAAAAATATCATAACGTTGATAAATGTCATTAAAATAACGATAATATATTATAACTTTAAAATACAACATTTTTATTTTTCACTGTCATAAAGTTTCATTTTGGCAAGTTTCATTGTACAATATTTTGAATTTGAAAAATAAACAAGGTATAATGCTATAAAGCACAATTTTCAAAACAGTTCTTAGCAGAAACAAAATTAGCTATGAAATTAATTTAAAATGTCTTCTTTTTAAGTATTTTCATAGTAAGAGTTTTTCTCATGTAGTTGTCTCAGAATATTCAGAATTCTCACAATATCTATCAGTTTTCTCTATAAAATTAATTTTACACTTTTCCCGATTTTTTTTTTTTTTTTTTTTTTTCCTAAAATTTTTCTGACTTTTTGCCATTACAGAATTGTAGAAAAAATTTTTCTTTTGGATTTTAGACATTACAGCTTGGAAAGTTTAAAAGGATTTGAAGGCAAGATTTATAGACCCACGATTCTAGAAGATTGCAGAAATATGTGACAAAATGAAAAATATCTCCATGCTATTAACATGTAATGGATGTATTTTACAGAACGTTTGTGATGAATTTCTTATTGGAGAACGACTGGAAGAACAATGAAAACATAATATTTGAATGTTTTACTCCTGATACTAAAATCTTTTTCTTAACGTGTTATCTTCCCTTTATTTTATCTACTTTTCACTAGATACAAGCATGGAAAATATCAAAAATGCTTATAATCTTATCACATGGGAAGGCATTATAGAAAAGGATTTTTTTATTAATAAAGAAATTGAAAACTTACAATTTAAAAGATTAATCTGTCTTAATGGCACCATACACTAGACATTTTCCCACCTGATTCAATCTCTGTGGATCCTAAATTCTGTTGGCTAGTGCCTTTCTAAATGCTTCCAATGAAAGCTCTAAATTCTAAAAGTTTTGCCATTTCTAGATTTTCGGTGTGTCATTCAATTCTAAAAATTCTGCCACATCAGCTCTGTAACTGACCTTTACCATATATATTTCATATTTCTTCTGAATATTCATATTACTAAAGAAATAAAATTAGCTGCTTTTTCTGTACATTCTAAATGCATTTAGTGTTTTTTAAAATAACAGAAATCCTTAATTAAATCCCAACATTAGAAAATGAAAAGAAAATGTGTTGTTGAAGAAAGAAACTGAATATGTAAAGAAAATTATTTTTCAAACATATATGCAGTTATTATGTAAATTATCCAATTATTTATGATTTCAGCCTTTACTATGATTTCCCATTTCTATTGAGCCAGATTAAATTAAAATTAAATTGTATAATCTTTGACCACTAGTCCACATTTTTAGTTTGAATTTGACTGTTCTTGTTTAATTACATCACAGTGAGCTGTAATTGATTTTGTTATCATTAGAACATGTCCTTATGTTTTAAGTTCTTTTTAAATAAGAGGCTTATTTAAAACTTTGTCTGAAACTGTAGTTACTTTCAAAAATAATACATAAAGAAAATTATTCTTCAAAGATATGTGCAGTTATTATTATATAAATTACCCAATTGTTTATGATTACAGCCTTTACTTTCTATTGAGCCAGATTAAATTAAAATTGAATTGTATAATCTTTGACCACTAATCCACATTTTTAGTTTAAAATTGACTGTTCTTGTTTAATTACATCACAGTGAGCTGTAATTGATTTTGTTAGCAACAGAACATGCCTTTATGTTTTAAGTTCTTTTTAAATAAGAGGCTTATTTAAACCTTTGTCTGATATTGTAGTTACTTTCAGACATAGTGATAATATGCTTCACGTCTGTCGGGGGTTTTGGACTATTTAACTTTTACCAGATCAAATAAATCCTGATAGGATCATTGTAGAGAGGTTGACAAGTTAGGAGATAAAGCACGCAAAAACTAGCGAGAGTGTTGTTTGCATAATGAGACAAATCTCTAGTTGTTAGAGAAACATGCTTAAAAAGAGAAGGAAATCGATATAAACTAGCCAAAATGTCTGGAAACACTTCAAATTAAAATGACAGATAAATATTTTGTTGAGTCTTGTTACAAAACATAAATGTTTTATAGATTTAATGTGTAATTATCCTAATATCATTTAAGAATCAATGTCATAAATGATATGTATTTTAAACTGTGAAATTTTATTAGATTTTGATTTTAATAGGGCTTTTTTAACAAATATTGTTAAAAAATAAAATTTAATAGTGGCCATGTAAATCCATAATGACGTAACTAAATGTTTACCATTAAAAATTATCTCTACATATTAAAGCGAGTTAGTGCCTTTCATTAATACTCTGGTCACAAGACAAAATACAAAAATGTAAAAATTCAAGTAAAACTGATTTTTTGCATCTAGTGGGACTTAAAATAATACAAAACAACTTATCATCTCTGGTGCTTTAATGGCTTATTGGAACCTTAAAGTATATTAACTGGGTTACAACCCCTGGAACTGCACGAAGCTACAACACTAAACTGCATCAAAAAGAGCCTGACTGACTTTCGACGCTTGCCAACTGTGCCTACATCAGGCCTTTCAGGTTTGTTCGAAGCAGCAGGTCTTTCTCTAGACAAGCAGCAGCGGTGACAACATTCAGTCTTTTGTTATGAATCATGCTGATTATGATCTTACTTCTTATTTTAACTTATGCTGTTTGACATAAAATCTACGTGCTATTTACCTCTAGACTGACCAAGTATGTGACAAAATGAGACTAAAAAAAAAAAAAAAAAAAAAAAAAAAAAAAATCAACATAAAGCTAACTGTTAGTAAAACATAAATGTCACTTGACCACTAGTCCACATTTTTAGTAGTGTAAAATATTTAATGCTACTTGATAAATTGCATAAAGTTTATTTTATTCTCAAACTTATTATGTTAATTAATTCATGTTTAGTAATAATGCATACTACATAGGGATCTATTTTATTTTTAGGATGGTATTACAAAAGTGAAATTCAGGCATAGATAATATTTTTAATTGAGTTTATTCAGTTCCCATTTGCTCATAGGTCCTTAATTTTTTCCATTAATGGTCCTTAAAAGTACTTAATTTTCATGTGCAGAAATATGTACGAACCCTGTTATAGCATTTAAAACAATGCTGTGATGATTTTTTTTTTAATAAATAAGGTTTTTTTTTCAAATTGTATGTATTGTTCAAATGCATGATTTATGTGAATTTAATCACACATTTGATTCTGCTACGATCTGAACGTTTCGTAATTCTGTTCTATTGAGAAAAAAATGCTTTGGGAATTAGTTAATGGCTTTCATTCAAATTCTTTCAAATAATTTGTTTATTGTTAAAATTTGACTTATGTGATAGCATTCACATTATGTTTCTGAAAATGAAATAAAAACTAATATCCTCCTTATTTGTCATCATGATCCTTATATAGTGAATAAGAGACTCTGGACGTAAATAGTATTATTGTAAACTTTATAAACTTTTTCCGTATTTTTCTATTTCTTTTTGAATGGTATTTTAATAATATATATTGAATAATATATATTATGGCATAAACTATATTTTTGTTGCATTTTATTTAGGAGATGTATCTGAGCCGAAACCTTATGTACCAGAACTATCTGCCATTGATGTCACTGAACCTTCCCCATCTCAACAAAGCAGTACTGGTCTAATTTCTCCAGAATTAATTCAGAATTCTAATTTATCACAGTCAGAAAGTAATTAGAATTATTTTGCATCCTTTTTCTTTGATAAAGCGTTTATGAATATGTCATGTTGAAAAACTGGTAAAATGCACTTTAATTTTGTGAATATGATTAAACTCATTTTCTTCCATACTTAACTCAAACAGAGCTAGTAAAAACTTAAAGATTATAAAATAATTCTTTTTTTGGATTGTCTGCAGTCCCCACCAAAAAAGGGATTCAGGTGGTAAAGCAATATGTTTCCAAAAATAATTTTATGTGGCGGCCCACAATGCCCCCAAAATGTTTTAATGTGGCAACCCAGGTATATGTGTGGCACATGTCTGTTTTGACTAATGGGCAAAGCAGAAGTTATACAGATACAGATTTCAGTTCGTGCAGTTCTCCCCCCCCTTTTTTTTTTTTTTTTGTTTTAGCGAAAGGATATCGCTGTGTACATGGGAAGAACAGCTGCACAAAAAATAATTTATTGGAAAAGGAACATGTCTTATTACCAATGTTCTGGGTTTTTTAAAATTTTATTGTTTGATTGCATGGAATTCTCAGCATGCTGATATTTTGAAATTGATTGTTACTTTTTGCACATAAACTTGACGAAAAATTAGTCACCAAGTTCCCCAAAGTCCAAAACTTTTCGGTGGGCTGTATGGATAATCAGAAAGCACTAAAACAACTTTAAAAACAATAACTTGAAAATTGTATCAATATATTTTTTAAATAGTTACTAATTAGGTACAAGTTAAAAATTTTACTCTGAAGTCATCAAAATTTTTGTTCATTTAAATTGTAAAAATAGCATAAAGCTAATGAGATGTCAAAATTCAGATATTTAATAGAAAAATTTTACATTAAAAAACTCACATGCGTGTGTTGCTAAAGCAAAGTTTAAAGTTTAAAGAAATTAAACATTTAGCAGTAGTAGCAATGAAAGCTCCCTGAGATATGTTGTGCAGACATTGAAGACAATAAAAGATTTTGAACTTAACCAATTTATTAACAATATAATAAAGAATAAAAACACAAAAATAAATGTCAACAGTATTAGAGTATTAGGAAAAATATAATATAATCATCATTCATCAAATATTTTTACCTGGTCTCCAAAACACTGGCATTCTATACAAACAAAAAAAAAAATGTCCTAAACAGTGACTATGCGGCCTAAAAATAAAGCTGGCTACCCATTCAATAAGTCCATAATCAATGGTCAAGAAAAACACCTGAAAAATTTAAATGTGAAAACACTTAAAACCGGCCTAACTCCGTTTGCACAAGGAGTCGTCGCCGCTCACGTATTTTTAATTCCGCCTTCATTGAAGAAACATGGATGCCGCCCACGGCAGTCACTCATAGGATAGCCTCTGGAACCGAAGAACTTTAATCTGGAACCATCATCTCGCAAACCGGAATCAAGGCATTTTTTCACCGGACTGCATGCATCCTTTTGAAGGGGCTGGAAACCGCTCACTCACTTGCCGGGAAACCAGGAACTAGAAAGGTTGAGCCAGAGCGACGCGAGATACTTATAGCAGAAGTAGGAATGACGTCATCTCACGGCAACCAATCAGCTATCGGCACGAATAGGCTTTTCAGATGACGTAAATCATGTTTCGTTTTTGCATCTCAATTAGGTTGAAACAGTCCGTTCTCAATACAAACAGTGGCAGCAAGAAAAAGAAGTAGAAGTAACTACTATATTGCATTAAAATAAGGACTAACCTAAATAAACATTTCAAGGAGGAGAGATGATGCAAAAATAAGCTATATTTTCCAACAAATGCCCCCACATCATCATCTCCGACCTGAAATAAAAACCGAATGCCAGTATCTTTACATAATTCAAAACAAGAATAAATAAATATCACAATTTCATTCAGAAATTTTTAAGAAAAATTTTTCTTTGGGAAAATCTTATCCCATTATTCAAAAATTGTACCGTAGCAAGAAAGTCCAACATGTTACAGAACAATACAAAGACATATATATGATCACACACTCAATACATTTACCCAGGGCCCTGGTCACTCATACAACATTCTACACTATACAATTTTACATTTACCTAATATCCATCATAATATGACTTATAACATATTAGTTTCAAATAAACAAAACTCTTAATTTAAATACACACAAAAACAAATTTCATAAGAAAATTGTTCCACAAAATCTTATCAGGTTATGCTTAGTCAGCGGTTTTGTCATGGGATCAGCCAGATTATCTTTACTTGGGACATATTTTAAATCAAAAAATTTCCCTGTTCAATAGATCACGAATGAAAAATAGTTTCACATCTATATGTTTTGTCCTTCGAGTTTTCAATGGGTGATTTTGTAAAACATATAGCAGCCATATTATCAGCAAACAATATTGGCCTCGAAACATAGTTACTTGCAATTTTAAACTGAATGCATTCATCTCCAAAATGTTTTTAAACCAAACTAATTCTTTTGCTGATTCAGTCATGGAGATAAATTCAGCCTCCATAGTAGATAAACTCACTCCCCTTTCTTTAAATGTACGCCAAGATACAGGTGATTCTCCCAACAAAGCTATTTGTCCACCAATAGACACCATATCATCCCTGCTTGAAGCAAAATCCGAATCTGAATATATATTGAGCTTCAGTTCCTTGCATACCAGTTTGAGTTTGTGCTGTCTGGTATTGGAAACGTACCCTAAAAGTTTAAGTAATCCTTCCCAGTGAAACTTACCAGGATTGCTTTGGAACTGAGAAAATATATTAACAGCATAAGCTATATCCGGACGAGTACGATTGCAAAGAAACGAGAGACATCCCAAAACATTTCTATAAGGATAATTCATCATTTCAGTCGTTTCTTCTTGTGTACTGGGACTTTGAGACTTTGAGTATTTCACACCTTTAACTATTGGAAGGGAAGTAATTTGTATTTTAAAAGACTTAAATCGATCAACTATGTCTTCTATATATAATTGCTGATGAATTATCAAATTCCACACCCAGAAGCTTTCTTGTTTTAACTAAAATTTTCAAATCAAAATGTGAACTCAGGACTTTTAATATCCTTTTGGCCTGAACTTCACTTTTTCCCAAACACAACTATATCATCAACATAAACCAACAGAATGACAAAATCTTTAAAACGATAGACACAATTACACCACTCAAACTTGATAAACCCTAGGTTACATAGTGTTCTATCCAACTCGTAGTACCATAATCGGCCCACTCTGATGCAAACCATACAAGGCTCTATCTAACGACACACAAAAGTTTCTTTATCTCGCTCTACAAAACCCTGAGGTTGGGACATGTAAATTTCCTCTGATAAAGGAGCATAGAGATAGGCACTTTTCACGTCACATTGTATATTTGCCCATCCAAGGTGTGCAACTAAAAGGGAGAGAAAAAGAGCCTTATTACTGAAAAGTTGACTACAGGAGAGTAGGTTTCATCATAGGTATCGTATTTAATTTGCCGATAACCCTGAGCCCACTAAACGAGCTTTAAAACGAACAATGTTTCCAAATTCGTCACGTTTAATGTTGAAAATCCACCTGCAACCTAGTGGAGTCTTGTCTTTAGGAAGTGGAACAAGATGCCATACCTTATGCTTTCGCATGTTGGCCATTTCCTCTTCCATTGCCTCTATCCATTTAAGCTTTTCTGTGCAGATTTCATTGCCTGGTTATAAGTGTTTGGAATTGAAACATCTAGTCAGCTATCTCGGGTATACGACGTTGAAGGAGTACCAGTTGGGTCGATTTCACCACTATAAGTATTGCTTCCCTTGAAATCAAACAAGGTAGGATCATACTGAATATTATGTTCAGTGCAATACCTTTCTACATCATTTGGTGATCGTAGTCTTTGATTAGACCCCCCCCTCTCAAAATAATACACATCCGTACGAGTGCCGTCTGGCCTTGGAACAGGTTTACGAAGCCAAGTTACTTGTCTCAATGTAGATTGAGTGTCAGTGCCAATTGTAGAAGAAGGTACATTGGTATCGGTTCTTTCCTCTATTTCAGGAAAATAGCCAACTGGAGTATCAGTAGATTGGAACTCTACCCTTTCTTCAGATTCCAAATCAGGAAGGGTGCCCAGTGCAGCTCCACTGCCACTTTTCTGCATTCCAATCGACTCTTTAAAAGTAGCATTTAGGGTTTCTACTACCTTTTGCTCATTTTCCAACCAAATCTTGTACCCTTTTGTTCGTACACTGTACCCAATCAATCGGCCCTTTGTTGCCTTTGGATCAAGTTTAGAATTTCTTTTAGCCTTTGGAATTCCCACATAGGCAATCGTTCCAAATGCCTTAAGGATGACGTACTGATGGTTTCCGCTTAGTGTATAATTCAAATGGGGTTCTATCTTGGCCCTTATGACAAATTCTATTAAATGAATATGCAAAATACATTACTGCATCTGACCAAAATTCGGAACTCATTCCACTATCGTGTAAGATTGCACGTACATTATTGAGAGCTGTCTGATTAAATCTCTCACAAACTCCATTTTGTTCTGGAGTATATACATCTGTAAATTCGTGCTTTACACCATTTTTATTACAATATGACCTGAATTGATCATTATCATATTCTCGCCCATTGTCAGTCCTAAAGTATTTCAATCTAAGGTTCAAAGATCTTTCCGCACGTGCTATATGCCTTTCAAATACTTCAAACACCTGACTTTTCTCCACAATGGGGTATACTACCACATAACGAGAATATTCGTCAATAAAGGAAACGAAATAACGTTCACCATTCCTACCTGGAATGTTAATAGGTCCCCATACATCAGAAAAAACCCTTTCAAGCGGTCTCTTTACTTGAATACCTTCTAAGGATCTATAGGAGATTCGTCTTTGCTTATTGATTTGGCAATGTTCACAAAACAAATTAGGTGAGTGCTTTAACACAGGAAGACCTCGAACTGAATGTCTCTTACTAGTCCTGACAATAGTATCATAATTTATATGACCAAACCGACCATGCCATAATTCACTATTATTATGCTGAACTG